GAACATGGACGCTGGATGCAGGTAAGTGACAGTAGGGGTTATTATCCCCCTCAGCCAATCGCTACCCGCTATCCTTGACATAACTCCATCTTAGCCATACTATCATTTTTAGTGTGCAGTGCTGCAAGTGACCGTAATTCACACCTAATTTAATTATTCAAAGGAAGTAAAACAGTACCATAATCACTTCAATGAGATGAAGTGGTTATGGTGCCTATAGTGTCCCTTTAGAATAGTCAAGACTACAGAAAATAAAATGGAAGATATATGGCTATGCGAGACAATTCAACACTTTTTGCCAAAACTCACCTTGTTGTGGAGCGGGTGCTATCTGTGGTTTGTCTCTTTTTGCCACAAGTGAAGGGTACTAGTGTTACAGCAGTGTACACGGAATGCCCGATCCATGGAGGCAGCTACACCTGAAATACAAAAATTAACAGCCATCAATAATCAACAATCCAGTAATAAAAGACTTCATAAACCCAATACTACTCCAAGATGAAAAGTACAAATATCAGGAAAAAGCAAAACCTGCAATAGCTAAGAAACAAAACTTACACTAGTTCCTATAGAATGACTTCCCCTAGCAGCTGTTATTGTAGTAGCAGGATAGTGAGAAAATCAAAGTGCATGGCCTCAAGCCTTGATTTTTATCACTGTTTGCAAAGGAGGATCCTGTTTTATCAAAACTGCAATCCTAAACAGTGTGCAAAGCACTTACATCGTATAGATAACACATACAATAATAAAAAACAAAATAAAAACTGCACAATAGTATAGATAAACCATTAAATCACAAATTAACCCCCTGTGAATAACACACACTTTCTCCAGAGTCACCAAAGTAAAAATATTTGATAATATATACATTTTCATTATTATATTGAACGCGTTTTACTTTTTGTGTTTTTTTTGTTTTGTTTTTTTTTATGTATTTGGATCCCATTTTATGGCTATTTTGCAGTAAAAAAATAAAAATAGAAAAGGATGAAGAACACTGATGAAGTGTATATACACCGAAGGTCTATGTGTATAACAACCTTTGTCTATCACATCAGTTCTAAACACTGCCCAAAATTTTCCCTCAAATTAATATTATGTAGGTTATACATCTTTGCTATTTTTAAACTTAGAATTAGGAGGGTATTTCGTTACTAAATCCTTAGTTTTTAGGGGATCTTCAGGGTTAATCCTAAATACTAAACTGCAGAGAAAGGAACCCAATATGCAAATTGCCAGCTCACCTCACACACAAATTGTAATTCTGCCTCTATGTAAATAATAGACTGTTAACATGCCAGGTATAGTTGGCAACGTGTCTTGGCCAACTAATGGTCGAGCATGTCAGAAATTATTTTTTTTAAATCGAAAAAAGCAGATATGCTGAAAAATTATTTAAAAAAAAAAAAAAGTATAAATTACAGTTAAGTGCGTATTTACGGTATTACCTCATAAAACATGTAAATACTGTGATTAATGCATACCTTCTTCGGGACAGTAAAAATGTCATATCCTAAACTAACATCCTATCCCAAATCTCAAGACGTTACGCACAAACATAAAGGGTTATTTTCTTTATTATTATGATTAGCATTGAGCATGACAAATTGTGGTGAAAACAAACCTGAACAGAAAAATTCTGGCAAAAATAGCCAACCTGTGGCAACACAGCTATGTTAGAAGAATATTCCCCAATCATCTAATTTTCCCCCTACATTTTGCCACTTGCCCTTCAATTCGGAGTTTAGTGAATAGGCTTAAAGAGAAACCACAAGGAAAAACCCATCCACTCACAAACTTACTGGCCCAGGATGAAGGGAGTTGCAGTCCACAGCAGCTGGAAAGCCAGAGAAAGCCTACATCTCTGCATAGCAGCAACTGACTGCACTATTAAAATGATATTTACATTCCCAGGCCAGAAAAACAGAGCTTACCAACTACTCCCTGCCCAGTGTACTTAAACACCATGATATTAAATAAACTGTACAGGAATCTGATTGCATGCAGTAACAGCAGAATCTGGGGATACGTTCCAATTCTAGAACATGGTGTTAGAATGAATCTAAATCCATATTTTATTTTTTAACTGATATGTAGTATATGTACCTTGCTTCCATGGACTGTAACAATGTATCTGCTGCTGTATGGTGGTCTCCAGGCATGGTGTATCCCCCCCACCCCTCGTGTAGACCTTATTGCCCTACCCCTCCTTGACCACCTCCTCTGCTGGTACTCCCACCCCTTTTTGGTACTCACTTTCAGCCTCAGGGTGAATTCTCCTCTCCTTCTTTGTCCCTCACTGCACCAGCCTCCATCTCCCACCCAGGAAATGACGATTCCTCCCGGGATCTGCCCGGTATCCCGGAGGTGGATCATTCAGCCGGTATCCGGCCGGCAGCACTGAGGGTGGATCGCGTGTTTTCTGACAAACAGATGTAAGGAGGAGGGCAGTTCAGAGACACAGCAGCAGTGTCCGCCATCTTTGTGATTGGCAGTGCTCAATAAGAAAGGCACAAGAACTTTTAGAATTTATTTTGTTCCTTTCCCTTTCTTTCTGTCCCATTATGCTGTAAAATGACAAAATGTGAGGTTCGTTTACAGAGTTGCCAACTATAATATGAACAGAAACCCGAATTGCTAAATTCAGGCTGAAGTAGCCAAGCTGTGGCATCTTATATAGTAGTACTGTGATGGTTTACACACACAGAGCGAGTTATTACAAGGCCACTTTTTACAGAGCTAATCTAGCCAGTCTTGGCAAGTACATAATAAAGCTGTAGTCTAAAGTTAAAGGAACGCTTTAAACTTGGCTATGGCATCTGCTTTCCTTTTTAAAAAATCATCAGTGGTGATGATATTAAAGGGACACTATAGTCACCAGAGCAACTAGCGCTTATTGAATTTGTTCTGCTGAATAAAATCATTCCCGTCAGGCTTTTTGCTGTAAACATTGACTTTTTAGATAAAATGCAGTGTTTACATTACAGCCACTGCCCACTCCTCAGATGGCTACTAGAGGTGCTTCCTGGGTCAGTACTGCCTAATGTGCAGCACTGCCATTCCACCCTCTGCATGCAGACACTAAACTTTCCTCATAGAGATACATGGATTCAATTCATCTCTATGAGGAGATGCTGATTGGCCAGGGCTGTGTTTGACTTGGGCTGGCTCTGCCTCCTGGACAGTGTCAAACAATCCTATGGGGAAGCATTGTAATTGGCCCAGACCACAGCTTCTGATGATATCAGCAGACAAGTCAGAGGCAGAGCTAGCATCTGCAGACTTGAATACAAGTAAGATTTTACTATATTTAGGGAGTCAAGAGGGTTCAGGGGGGCTAGATGGTGGTTTTAACATAATAGGGTTAGGAATACATGTTTGTGTTCCTGACCCTATAGTGTGCCTTTAAACTAATCCAATGCTTCTCATAGAGAAGCACCTAATAACCACTGGGCAATGGCATGCTTGGCACTTACCACGCTGCTCCTTACCGATATTTGTAATAGAGAAGTACTTAATGCATGATGGCAATGACTGCGAAGACTTGCAACGTGAAGACTAGGAACTGGCTCTACATGTGTACTGTCAGACAAATGTAAACATTGCTGTTTCTTACAAGCTGTGCCCCGGTCACAGTCCTGCTTTCTGTATTCTCCAGAATCCTGTTATTTCTACTGAGCTAAACAGGACCATCCAGGGCCACTTTCATTTACTGAGAGAGTGTTAACTGAGCATGCTGAGCCCATGAGCATATTCATCTATGGGTATGCCTAGCTCAGGAGAGACATATGGCTTCTCGTGAAGGAGAAAAATGCATGTGGCCTGGCCCCTGGTGGACCCAAATAAGTTGTCAAAGCTTAGTGTAAAGGACCACTATAGGCACCCAGACCACTTCAGCTTAATGAAGTGGTCTGGGTGCCTGGTCCAGCTAGGGTTAACCCTTTTTTTTAATAAACATAACAGTTTCAGAGAAACTGCTATGTTTATAAATAGGTTAATCCAGCCTCTAGTGGCTGTCTCTTGACAGCCGCTATAGGCGCTTGCGTGCTTCTCACTGTGAAAATCAGAGTGAGAAGACGCAAGTGTCCATAGGAAAGCATTATGAATGCTTTCCTATGAGACTGGCTGAATGCGTGCGCAGCTCCTGCTGCGCATGCGCATTCAGCAGAAGAGGAGGAGGAGAGCTCCCCGCCCGGCGCTGGAGAAAGAGGTAAGTTTAACCCCTTCGTCTCCCCAGAGCCCGGCGGGAGAGGGTCCCTGAGGGTGGGGGCACCCTCAGGGCACTATAGTGCCAGGAAAACAAGTGTTTTCCTGGCACTATAGTGGTCCTTTAACAAATTACTCTGAAAGGGGGCAAGGACATGCCTGACACATGTCTATAGCTACTTTTTCTCTACTATGATTGGTTGCATTGTTTAAAAAGAAAATATATATATTTTTATGCTTAATCCCCTTCCCCCTTTGTTTGAACCTTTTTACTATTTGTGTTAATGGGTGTGACATATTTACACTATTACTACATTTACACTATTTGTTCATAGTTCCAACAAAGTCCTTTATGCTGATTTTGCTAATATCACGTCTATAGATCATTGATAGAATTAGTTAATTATAAATCCACAATGTAACTGTAACACATCAGAATCAGGAACAAAAGTAAAACGTGTATTCCAGACCCCATATTTCTTGACCAGCAAAATAGAAAGAATATTGGAAAAATATCCAGGAATGTTTTGCAATTTCAGTCAATGTGTAAAATTACAAAGGAAATTTTTTTTGTTTTCTTCATCCTATATTTTGTCTCTTGTCTATGGCCGTAACAAGCTTACAAGACTAGACAGCCAGTAGAGGTGGACTTAAAAGGGACACTATAGGCACCCAGGCCACTTTAGCTCATTGCACTGTCCGTCAGTTTAACCCTGCAATTGTAATTATTGCACTTAATGAGAAACTGCAGTAATTATATTGCAGGGTTAACGCCACATCTAGTGGCTGTCTACCACACAGCCACTAGAGGCACTTACGTGTCATTAGGCAACTGTTGGTCGCTTAACTCACAGTGAATGTCCTCACACTATGCATGAGGACATCCAGCGTCAGCGAAAACCCCATAGGAAAACATGATTTGATGCCTGACACAGCACCGACAAACATCTTCGCTGGATTCAGATAAGTGAATTGAGGGTTTTTAACCCTTTCTGCTCTGCTTGGGGGCACATGCGATGGGGGCACTATAGGGTACTATAATGCTAGGAATAAAATTTGTATTCCTAGCCTAACATTTCCTTTTAACCCTGCAATGTAAAAATTGCAATTGCTCAAAAACTACAATAAATTACATTGCAGGGTTGAGTGCTGTAGCATGTATCTTTCAGGAGAGTGCTGCAGGAGTGAGGCTGCAAGCAGCGCTTAATTTCACAGTAGGCTGTTGCTTACACATGCCTGTTTGCTAGCAGGCCCTATTTTAGAACGAAAACTAGACTTAAAAAATAAAATAAAAAATGTTAAGTATTTTCCGTTTTGGTTCGGAGTTTAAAATGCGGAATGCAAATGCAAGTCTGTATTCACAAATACATTTGAACAATAGCTCAAATTGTTTATATGCTTGTATGTATATGTCTGCTTGTAACTGTCTGCAAAATACCCAGCCTATAATGAATGAATGCATTCACACACATTTTCCCAGTAACCATGGCACCACTTAAACTCACATCCCACAAGATTCAAACACTACACATAGCATTGACACACTACCTGTAAAAGTCACACACACACAAAAGTCACCAAAATTAGAGCGTATAAGCTTTAATTTTTGAGCGCAATAAACTGATGTTCTAATATACTACACAATATTGTCCGCTAATTATTAATATAACGCCAACAAATTCTGCAGCGCTGTACAATGGATGGATGTAACACGTAATTGTAACCAGACAAGTTGGACGCACAGGAACAGAAGGGTTAAGGGCCCTGCTGAGTGAGCTTACATGCTAGAGGAAGTGGGGTAAAGTGACACAAAAGGTAAGGGTAGGAGTAGAGAAGTAGATTGGTAGAACAGTAATCACTGAAGACTTGGTGTGTTTGTTAATGACAGTTACAGGAGAGGAATCAATTGGGAGCTATCAACAGTTTAATTGATACACTTTCATAAATAAGTGAGTTTTAAATGATTTTTTGAAGGAGTGGAGACTGGGTGAGAGTCTAACGGAGAAGGGAAGGGAGTTCCACAGGAACGGTGCAGCCCTAGAGAAGTCTTGAAGGCGAGCGTCAGCGTTAGGAGTATGAACAGAAGATAGACGTAGGTCTTCGGCAGAGCGTAGGGGCCTAGACGGGACATACATGTGTATTAGGGAAGATAGATAGGTTGGAGCAGCATTATTTAGTAATTTGAAAGCAAGAATTTTAAATTGAACCCTATATCTTATGGCAAGCATGTCAAACTCAAAGCCTAGCAAGGGCCAAATAAACAAGGTTTAACTTCATGTGGGCCACAAAAAAAAAAATAAATGTAAGAAATTTAAAAAAAAAAAAAACGTAAATTTTCATAGAAAGGGAGGTTTATTTCGAAAAGTACAGTATAAAAAAAAAACAACATCCCCCATATACTAATTAGAGGTGATGGTAGCGCCGTTAACGTGAAGGGAGAAAGAAGCTTGAGTAGCAACACTTATGGAAGGAAAGACCAAAAGTTTTGTTTTGGACAGGTTGAGTTTAAGGAAGTAGGTAGCCATCCAGTTAGAAATAGCAGAGAGGCAATCAGAGACACGAGTCAAGAGGGGCGGGGAGAGATCAGGAGAGGACAGATAGATTTGCGTGTCATCCGCATAGAAATGATATTGGAAGCCAAAAGGGATGATGATTTTACCAAGGGAGTATAGATCGAGAACAGCAGGGGACTAAGGACTGAACTTCAGGGAACACCAACAGAGAGGAGTTGGGGAGAAGAGGCAGAGTCAGAGAAAGAAACACTGAAAGAGCACTGGGAGAGGTAGGAAGAGCATCAGGAGAGAGCAATATCTCATAGACCGAGATTACAGAGAGTGAGAAGAAGCTCTTGATGACAAATCTCCATTGGAGATTTGTAAGCAATTGTTGTTGAAAAGATTTTACCAGTTTCTTAGTCCCAACATAAGCAGAGATGCCCAGGTCGATCAAAAAAAAAAAATTAATATATTTTTTTTTATATATATAACCCATGAGACAAATAAGATCTGTTTCCTTAGATTACACAATAATAGGTAAAACAGTATGCAGTAAATTCCATAAGTATTCTTGTTTCAGGAATTAAATGTCTTAAGGAATGTGTCCCATATCTCACAGGTTGTTCTGTGACTCAACAAGAGGTAAATTTATAGTGATATATGCATTCATAAGCACAATTTAAAGTGACACTATGGGCACCCAGACCACTTCATCTCAATACTAGACCACTTCATCTCAATGAAGTGGTCTGGGTGCCATGTCCCTGTCTGCTTAAAGGCACCAAGATGACTTCAGTTCATTGAAGTGGTCAAGGTGCAGTGACCCTGTCCCATTAACCCTGCAGTGGTAATTGAGAGAAACTGCAATAATTACCTTGTAGAGTTAACTCCACCTCTAGTGGCTGTCTGCCAGACAGCCACTAGAGGCACTTCCTGGTCACTAGGCGACTTTTGGACACTTAACTGATGCTGGACGTCCTCACGTTATGCATGAGGACATCCAGCATCAGACATTTTAACACTATAAGAACCACTACAGGCACCTCCCTTCAAAATCATCTGTTTAAAGGACCACTCTAGGCACCCAGACCACTTCAGCTTAATGAAGTGGTCTGGGTGCCTGGTCCAGCTAGGGTTAACCCATTTTTTCATAAACATAGCAGTTTCAGTGAAACTGCTATGTTTATCAATGGGTTAAGCCTTCCCCCTAATCCTCTAGTGGCTGTCTCATTGACAGCCGCTAGAGGCGCTTGCGTGATTCTCACTGTGATTTTCACAGTGAGAGCACGCCAGCGTCCATAGGAAAGCATTATGAATGCTTTCCTATGTGACCGGCTGAATGCGCGTGCAGCTCTTGCCGCGCGTGCGCATTCAGCCCAGGAGGAGGATCGGGGGAGGAGAGCTCCCCGCCCAGCGCTGGAAAAAGGTAAGTTTAAACCCCTTTCCCCCTTCCAGAGCCGAGCGGCAGGGGGACCCTGAGGGTGGAGGCACCCTCTGGGCACTATAGTGCCAGGAAAACAAGTATGTTTTCCTGGCACTATAGTGGTCCTTTAAATGTGCCAATTTCTATCAGATGCAGAGCAGGATTAGGTTTGCCCAGGGCACTAGGCATGGCCCCATATTGTCTTTATCTAGAGGGATAGTTCCTTGCATCTCATCTGAAAAATAAACAGCAGAACAGCAGTTTATTCTCATAATTTTCCACAATTATACTTAGTAAACACAACTAAAATATACAAAATGAATTAAAAGTTATACATTTTACTGTTGCAAAAAGTCTGTCACTTTAGCCTGGACATTTTTTTCAAGTGAAATGTACTTATTTATTTATTTAGAAAGTGTCTTTTTGTGTTTGTTTTGTGATAGTTGACTAAACCATAAAGATAAAGGATTTCATATCTAAACAGGTATGGTTTGTTTGAGGATACAGATAGGCAGAGATTAATCTCTGGTAATTGAACAGCAAGTGTTCCATAAAAATCTATGGGTGAATTCCTGACCAATTAGAAGAAAAATACATTTCTAGTCAGAGAATCCTGGAAGACACAGAATATAACATGCCTCCCAACTGGTCTAGATCTATCACTCCTGATATAGCACCATTTATTTACACTGATGTCTAGCTTCTGGGGACATCAGAGTAATGCAAAGCATAAGTACATCCTTAAAAGTTTGCTTCAAGCACCATAACCACTTTAGGGTTTTGAAATGGTCATGGTGCAAGGATGTTGCAGGTGCAGCATTTCAATATGAAAGTCAAGGTAAGAAGAAAAACTTTTAGCAAATGGTTTAAAGGATACCAAAACAACTTTAGCTTTTTAAAAATAGCATTATATTCCATTCCTCAGCAGCCATTTAATGCCGAGGAATTGAGAGACAGGGAGAGTAGAGGAGACCTCAGCATTGCAACCACAACGCATGGGCTGTGGTTGCTATGGAAACCCACAGGTTAGCACTGCTAGCGCCGGCAAGGAGATATAGGAACAGAGTGTCGTGACGTCACTCTGTTCAGGTGCCGGCACACTGGCAACGAAACCAGCGTTTGCCATGCATGGGGAAGTCAGTGAACGTCAGAGGAGGAGCAGGGTTGGACATCGCTAATGTGATGTGGGGGAGCGGAAGCCAAGGTAAGTGGGTATAGGTTCCCTTTAACTACTTACAGGGCACGCCAAGCACCATGACCACTACAGCGCTCTGTAGCTATTATGGTATTTGGAGTGTTCCTTTACATTGTCAATTATATTCTTCATAGATTGTTGTGTTGTGGAGACAGGCTCAGGCACTGAGTCTAGTGGTATTATGGAGACAGCCTTGGAGACTATGGTGAGGCCTAATAGAAAGCAGTTGTTGCTGTGGGATTCTATCATAAGAGGTGTGGAGCTGGACAATAGTGGCTTTGTGAAATGTTTTCTCGGAGACAGAGACAGGAGATGTATTTTGTAATATTGTTAAACGAGCAAAGCAGGAAGGGGAATTGGATGTACTTGTCCATCTAGGGACAAATGACTTTGCTTGCAATGAGGTTTCAGAGGTTAAGGAAGTTTTTAGTGTTTTTGCCAATGATATACAGCAGGTTGCTTCCACACTGTCATTCTTGGAAGTTCTGCCTGTGCATAACACTCAGAACGACAGGCGGATGCGTATTAGGGACTTTAACTTGTGGCTTGGTGAATGGTGTCGGGAGCAAGGATTTGGCTTTATTTCTCATGGTAGCTCTCTTTGGAATGGAAATAAACTGTACAAAAAAGATGATTTGCATCTTTCTCAAAAGGGAACAAATGTTCTCAGTGAGCAATTCAGAGGTTTTGCTAGGATGTATTTAAATTAGGATGGGGAGAGGAGGGGGGCAAAAGGGTGATAAAACATCAATCCAATTTCTCCCCAAAACGAGGACAGAAGGTGCCTGTAGCAAGTGTGTTAAGAAATGATAAGCTTAGAGTCATGGCTACAAATGCTCGCAGTTTAGGGAATAAGATCCATGAACTTGTGGCAATAATGGCAACTGATAATGTAGATTTAGTCGCTGTTACT